TATAGTGTTAAATCATACTTGCTTACTTGGGGAAAATTACACTACAAATTAACTCTAATTGTAGTGTTATAAAACAACACTATTTAGTATGCACCTGTGTGAACAGGGCAATATTTTTTACTGTGTAAGTATTAACAATCCTTGCTAGTTACAGTTTGTTTTTGTTAGGTTGTGTCAGGCTATTTTAAAGTTTAAAACCTTAAATATTTATATTTATATAAATAATGGTAATATTTATTAATTGAGACATTAGAAATTATTTTAATTTTGACGAAATAAAATAATACAAAAAATTTACATTGTATACATTCAACATATGAAAATAAAATTAAATACTATATTTAAAAAAAATAAACCACAGCCTAATCAAAAGAAATTAACAACAAAATAAACAAATATTCTAATCAGTCAAAAACTAATGGGTCAAATATCAAAATTTGGATTTAAAAATTTCATTTATTTCACTTCTATCAGCTTTATAATATTTTTAATAGTTTTCAAAAAGATTAACAATTTTTTTTTTTGATTTTATGCTTCTTGTTCAAATTTATTAAGTTTTCTGCAAAGTCTCCCTCCATTGCCTCCATTGCCTCCAAATAAAGTTCCAACTATGGAGGAGTGGTGTTTTTTTGTTCTCTTTCTCTTTGTTGCTTTTACGTTACTAAAATTTTATTTATTATATATTGTATGTTCTTTTAAATGTAAAATTATCTTACCTTATTTTATTCCTCACCTAGTTTAAATTTCTTACTTTATATATTATATTATATGCTGGTCCCAAATGATAAACCCATTGAGTGAAGAAGTAGTAGTCACTTATTAATCAATGGATAAACCGATAAACAAAAGAATACATACAAAAATATAGGTTATGTTTGATCGTAAGTAAATAGGCGTGAAGTTGCAGTAGTTTGTTTATACCACCTTAAATAAGACATTTATAGATAACACCCCAGAATTGCCATGGCAGTGCAGTTTTACGATTCTATAAGCAATATACATAGTTACAGATCATCGTAAGCTATAGATTTACGAATTTAGAGGAATTTTACAAGAGAACGCAAAATTGACATATTAGTATTATTTTACAAGAAAGGCATTTTATTTTAACGATTGTAACATTTGACAACTGTTAACTAACTTAAGCCCGTGACTAAAAACTTTGTTGCTAAATTCAGCCCGTGACTAAATCAGCATATAGCCAAAAATTGTCAATGTGTATTTAAAAGTTCACTTGGTGAAAAAATATATTTGGGTTTTAGAGATTTAATCGGTGTTTGTAGAATTACCCTTATAGTAATAAAAAATTAAACTGAACATCCTCAATATGGGTGATTCTACAAAATTTGGACAACTTGAGGTATTTTAATATTTTTTGTAAATATTTTAGTATGTTTTTGTACAAACGTGCTTTTTAAAAAATACATTATAATTGGGTGGACAAGTTAAAAAAACTGTATCTTTTCAAAAGATTCTTTTGTAATATATATATTACAAAAGAATCTTTTGAAAAGATACAGTTTTTTTTAACTTGTCCACCTAATTTTAATGTATTTTTTCAAAAGCACGTTTGTAGAAAAACATAATAAATATTCATACCTTGGCGTGTCACAACTCCTGAATCAAATATTTGAGTGATAATCAATATATCTTAAATTTTTCAATTCCACCACAAACTATAAAACATTAAATAATGTATTTTTCATATTTTATTATAGATTCGAATAATAGCAATTTTTAAAAAATTGATAATCTTTGTACTCACTTTTATCCGTCAGTTCTATGTCCAATGTTAAAATTCAAAATTCCTGCGAAATATTGTAGTTTAAACGTCAAGTGCTCGTTTTACCTCAAGTGTTGGTAAAAAATTACCTACAGAGCCCGCTCTTTACACGACAGTCATCTTGAAAACAATGCAAGCGACGAAGTTGTGGTGAATGCACGTATAGTTCCAGTCAAAATTTCAGTACTGTGGTGAGTAGTTATTTTCTTACGTATATATATTTCATTGTAATTTATATAAGGCCATATGTGATTTGTTGATAAGTAGACCACTAATAAAAAATATCCTTAAAATACTTAATTCTGAATTATAATCTCAAATTTGTATCCAATTAATCAGTACTGTGTCGTCAGTTCCATGTTGGATGTTTTGGTTATCTTTTTTTCGCAAACTTCAATTTAATTTATTTAATGTCATTATAAACTCATATAAATTTGGTGTGGGTCCCATATCTAATAATTGAGATATCGGTATACCCAAAATCCACCAGCCGCCACTGATGTGTGGTATTATTTGATTTTAAGAAATTTAATGTATAATATGCTCAAAGTTGCATTAAATTTTATATTTTCCAATAAATTATGTATTTAATTAGTATCCTGGTATACTCGTCACTTCCCTTGCATTCAAATTTCGAAAACACAGATATTTTAGAAACTGTTTGAAAAAGTGACTGGCCCGGTCTGGAACAGTCTATTTATTATATTATCTATGTTCTCATTAAAAAATACTGTTTAGTTTTCTCCGAAAACTATATAAACAAAATGAGGTCAAAAGTTGCCAAACTTTTGTAGAATCACCCATACATAGTTAAGATATAGATTTACGAATTTACAGGAATTAATTTACGAGAGAATCCAAAATTGGCATATTAGTATTATTTTAGAAGAAAGGCACTATTTTAACGATTGTATGACATTTGACAACTGTCAACTAACTAAAAACTAACTTCAGCCCTTGACTAAAAACCTGTTGCTACGTTTTTAAGGTGGTAGTAGAATATATATATTTATGCGTTTTAGAGATTTATTCGGTGTTTGTAGAATTACCCTTATAGTAATAAAAAATTAACTGGACATCCTCAATGTGTTGATTTACGCCACCACAACACCAACAATAAAACCGGTAATTCCCGTATCCGTTTTGGCATTCGCGGCAAATTTGAACGACTTTCATTAACCTGTTTATTCGGGTGTGTGATTAAAAATTAATACATCGCCCACCCATCGAAAACGAAGGGGGGAGAAAGAGTGACTTTTAATAAATGCCGTCGACGGAAATTCGCCGCAAACAAAATTAAAAAGTATAATGAGAAATTGCCACTCGCAACTGTGATCGATCCTACGGTTTTTTTTCAAATGCCTGCCATTAGGCTCTTAACGTTTAGAAAAACTTTCACCATTTCTCGTCCTTTTCGTGTTTTTTGCCACTTGTACACTTGGCATTTAAAAATAAATTAAATTTTCGCGCAAAGGCACTTATTGCCTTAATTAGTGCTTTAAGCGTAATTACCCAAAGAATGATAAATCATTAGGAAATATTGGCCTTTAAAAATAACAGATAATAATAATAAAATCACAATCCACAATATGTTCTATCTCGTTTCGCAAACCCACTGCACAGACTTTAACGGCGGCCATTTTTGTTGTTTATTAATAAACGACTTACCTGTTGACAAAAAATAAGATGTGTTATTTAACAAAATAACAACTACACAGTAAAAAAAAATCAACTCTAAGCAACACTAATTAGAGTTCACATAGGTCCACACTAAATAGTGTTGTTTTATAACACTACAATTAGAGTTAATTTGTAGTGTAATTTTCCCCAAGTAAGCAAGTATGATTTAACACTATAGCACTGAGAATAAAGTAATTTTACACTGTATTAAAAAGTGTTAATTTACCTAAAATCGTGTACTTCTACACTTCCTGGGTAAAATCCCACTTTTGTTCAGTGTAAATTAACATTACTTTGGAAAAGTTCTAATTTTAGAAAGGTACTTTTACTCTTTTAGTGCAAACTTTTAGTGTAAATTAACACAATTATTTGAGTAAAACCTATTTATTGGTTGTAGTAAATAAAACGAAAAGGTAAATAAAGAGAAACATTTATTTGGAACAAAAATATAATTTTATATTTGAGTCGTATGGCTGGCTTAAGCAAAAAGGTTCCTTAAAACGTAAAAGTTTTAGATCAATGCAATGTTTTACTGGCTGTCCACTTGTAAGCAATGAATTATCTTGAGAATTCATCAGTAATCCATTTTTCTGTTATAAAAAATGGGTGATCCCATTGGTAAGAGGCGTCAGGCGGCTGTATGTCGTGTGGTCAACGTGTAAAAATTTTCCATAATATTAATAAAAATGTAGGTATATGTTAATATAACAACCATTACGCTTGAAAATAAAAAGTTAATCAAGTGTGTGTGTATTTATATTATTAATGTTACAAATACCCGACCTACTGCTGTAAATTATTGATATATAATATAGGTCGGGTATGGACATCCTTTTAACATATTGGTATTTATTGAGTATTAAGGCTTAAAGAAAAAGAAAGTAATACTTACCAAAAAATAAGAATGTCCCCTTATGGATTCACCGTAATTAAAATCTAACTGAACAAAAATGCCACACTTCCACAACGCGGTATCTCCGGATATGCACTGCCTAGGTAGATAGGTACCAACCAAACATTTTAAAATGCATTTCGGTTATTACCAGTTTTTTAGTCTATTTTGCCACTATTGGTGTAATTTAACTTTAATTGTGATACAATGTGCACTAGTAGTGTAAAGAAAAAAGAGCTTTTAGTAACATCAAAACAGACAAAGAATAAATTAAAAAAATATGTACTTTCTATGATAACAGCTTTTGCCGCCATTTAAAACAAATTGAATGCTACGTTGCCAATGTGAGATGAATAAAACCTTCTGAAAAGAAGTATTATTTTTATAATTAAAATATTTTTGATAAATTGACAACAAAAGCTTAAATAATATAATAATATTATTTTAATAATACAACAAGTCTTGCTTGTGAGTTATAATATTATTATGTCAGTTTTTAAATTTGTTTTTAGAAGCCATGGCAACACTGTATAAAAAATATTCAGAAAAGTCTTTAAATTAGTGCCTGTGTAAATAAAACCACAATTTTAAGCGTCATGATTAATCAATTGGTGTAAAATAAATCCTATTTAACTCTTTAACGCTTTATTCTTAAATGGAATACACTTTATAGTAATAGGTACAATTTTCTATTGTATTTTTAGAGTAATAAAACAATTACTTTAATTATATTTAATAACAAATAAGTAAGTTTGTTGTGTTTTTTTTTACAAAAAATACTGTTTTGTAGAAAGAAGTTTCTGGAGAACGAAATAAGATAACGATTTAAAATTTAAAAAGCGTTTATAATTCATTTAAGTCTATTTTTCTAAAACATTTTAAACAAAATGCCACTTCCAGTTTTACAGGAAGATGAAGTAATATAATGATTTCTTCGTCACAGGACATCTTGCAGAATAACAGTGATTTAAATACAGTGCATGATAGAGAACATAAAAAAGTAATGGCAAAAAAATTAATAAATTCGAAAAATACTTTCCGCATACCACCCGAAAAAATATTATCCTGTTCCGGCCTAAACATTATAAATGCTTCACAAACTAGAGATACCACACTTAATGATATTTGCAACAAACTATTGCAGAAGTCAGACGAAGGAATTAGTAGTTACCTTCAGAATCCAGAAAAAGGATGAGGAATCCGAGAGAGAAATATATGAATTAATTAATATATGAATTACTTATATGATATTTACAAAAACGAAATAAAAAAAATTACCTAAAACAGCAGTTTATCTTTAAAAAATATTTAACAAACCTATGGAGTAATACTACTCAGAATTTTATGTAGAATTTAAAAATGTTAAAATATATATATTTCAAAAAACAAAGTTGATGTTACTTCCAGTTAAACTTAAAGTGGCATTTTGTTCAAAATATTTTAGAAAAATAGATCCATTTAAAACGCTTATAAAATTTCAAATTGATATGTGAAACACCCTGTATAATGTTAAGTCACATTTTTAAATTTTTTCCCACCTTCACTTGGAATATACTTTGCATCCCCACTTTTGCACTCTGCCATTACATCACCTGGTATAACATTTTTCGTTAAATCAACTAATTTTTCTAGGGGGCATATCTTTGTACACCCCGGTATAGTAAGTTCGTATGGGGGTAAACTCGTATCATTTCTATAGAATACCTGTATAATAAAAAATATATATATAAATTCATTATATTATTATGTATTACATTTCATAGTATACCTGTACCCCAAATTCATTTTCTTGATTCTTCGATAGTTCCAATAATACGGCCGACCCATAATCTGGTACTTGTGGATCAAATATTTTTAAAGCACCCAGTAGATACGCTATGTTGTAATCGTGCGTCATGTATAAAAACGCCTTTCTTTTCTTAGGTTTAATGGTGCCATCCTTTTTGGCCTTCCAGTCGTTTAGAATTTTTTTCAAAAGTGGGCCTTAAAAAACAATGGTTTTAACCAACACGAGTGTGATTTTTTTAAATGCAAATACCTCCTTTCAAACGCTTTAGTTTATCGTTGTAAGTTATGATGACGAAATTTAGGTCAGCCAAATATTTAATTTTATACATAAAATTGTCAGCCCAGGCAGGCATTGTTAAATTAAATAATTTCTAAAAAAATATAGTTCTAAATTAACTAAATTAAAAACAATAATATCTTACTTTTGCTTCTAAAATCGAATAAAGATCTTGTACATCAATTGATGTTTTTAAATCTTTTCCAGTCAAATCTTGCAACATTTTTACAAATTTTTCGTTATCCCTGTATATTTTTTGTAGTTCTTTCGACTTAACAACTTCTTCCAATTCCCTATCATATTCCTCGCAAGGCGCTATGAAGAAAAGTAACTAAAATAATAGTTTATGCAAACATTTTAATTAAAAAAGTCCTTATTTGGGTTTTTTGGTTTTTAATTTGTTGCTACCTGGGGAATGAACGATTTTAAATTGATAAAAATAATTCCCTGCATGAAAATTTGAGCTCCATAGAATGTGTACCATAATTAACGTGCAATACTTTAACAGCAGATTTTAAGTACAAAAATAAGAAAAAAAAATCTAAAACATAGGGACGAGCCCCTAAAGATAGTTTTTATTTAATATCTTCAATATCCTTCAAGATAAAGAAGTAAATGGCCAATAAGATGTAATAATAACAATTTCAAATTTACATAAGGGGTGGGTCAGATAGATAAGGAGTAAGGGTAAAACCACCCTAACTTTTTTTTACGTGTCTTGTCCCAGGATTTTATGTCAGATTATTTAATTTTGGAGGTTTACACACAAAAAAGGTACATTTGTTGAACTTCGATAATATTTACCATTTTCGTTTATTTCGATTTTTTAATTGATTTGAAAATTACCTTACGCCATGTAAGGTAATTATATAAGCTATCTAATTTTAATTTTTTTATTATTATTATTTTATTAATGGAATCATATTTAAAAAATCATAAAAAATATGTATATTATAATACAAAAAATTTTCTTCCAATAATTAAAACATGACTTCTGGTGTTCCACAGGGGTCAAATTTAGGGCCATTTCTATTTAATTTATTTGTTAACGAACTTCTTCTAAATCTAACTGGCTTATGTCGACGACATAAAGATATACTCAATTATTAAATGTCCTGATGATGTCAAGATTCTACAAAATAATTTGACCTACATAGCAAATTGGTGTCGTTTGAATCAACTTAAGTTAATTTTTCATAAGTGCTTTCCATGGGAAAGTATCGTCTAAGATCGTCAAAAAAAAGACGATCGCCTTAAAACGATATTCTTAAATGACGATCCCCTTAAAGACGAAAATTCGTCCTAATAATGATCGCTTTAAAAGACGATCAACTTGAATTTGAAAAACGAGAAAATATCGACCAATGACGATCACAATAGAATTCTATTGTGAAAGACATTGTTTTAAAAATAAGTATTTAAAAGACAATTGTGATATGTAATCGTCATTTGTCGAATTTTAACTACTAATTGTTAATGGTTAAAATTAAATAAGAAAAAAGAATAATTTCTTAAAATTAAGTTAAATTAATTTTAACTAACTTTAACCTGACCTCCCATTTTAATATTTTTAAAATAAAAGGGACCTTTTGCCATAAAAAATATTTTTTTATAGATTTTTAGCTTCTATATACCTATAGGTATATATAATATAATTTTTATCAAGCTTCTGTTCAAAAATTATAATATATAAAATATTGTAAAAGTTCTAGTTTAAAATTTTTGAAAGCATTAAATAATTATTTAATTTAAAAAAATATTTTATTGCAAAGTTTTAAATTTTTGTAAGCATTATTTAATTTATAAAAATGTAATAATAATTGTAAATAATTAAATAATAAATGTAATTTTTTTGCAATTTTGCATTTGAAAATACACAGTATGGATAGCAGCAGCTAAATAATTATACAATTAATAATTAACTTAACTTTGGTTAATGAATCAGACTAAATTTAGACTAATAAAGAACAGTAAAGAATATATCATTGGTATGTATTAATAAATAAAATAAACTGTGTATTAAAAATATATATTTTAATATTTTATATATAGTGATGCCAAAATAATAAAAATAAAATAATAAAAACATACAGTTTTGTGTCTTATGATAAGACTCTTATCCCATCGGCATTGCTTATAAAGAGTAACATACATAATTAAACTAATTCAAAACAAAACGGATTTGCAAAAATCATCACAGCACAATATAATCCAAAAATAACCGAAGAAATCGCCCCTTAAATTTTTGCCCAATTTTAAGTGATCAATTTGTATATTAATGATTTAAAAATTACTACAAATTTCCATTTAAATTTTTTAATTAAAAGAATTTAAAAATTATAAAATAATTATACAAATTATAATATTTATATATTTATTATAATATTATAATATTTATATATATAGTGTAAGTTACTATAGTAAGTATACTTTCTATTAATAATTATAATTTATACATTAATTTAAAAATAATTTTTTATTAAAAGAGATCGCCTATAGGCGATAAACTATAGTTTTAAGATTGTGAAATTCACGTTTACTCCTTTTAAAGACGATTGCAAAAGGCGATCTTCATTTTCTGAAGACGATCGATTGCTTAGATACACGATCGCCTGATTTGTATGACGATCGTCAACGTTTAGATAGACGATCGTCATTTTATTTAGATGATCATCAATTTTACAATGACGATCGCGTATTTTTATTGACGATCGCCAACAAAAATAACAGGCGATCTTCTATTTTTAACGACTTTATAGGCGATGTCATCAATATTTGATGATATCGTTTAAAAAATCGTCAATAAAAGAGGATCGTCAAAAAAATTCTAGACGATACTTTCTCTCTGTGATAGAAACTTTGATTTGCTCAATTGTTCAAGAGGAGGTGGTGTTTTAGTTGCAGTTAGAAATGATTATTCTGTAAAAAGTATTAATTTTGATTTATTAATAGAATCTGTAAATTGTGTTGATATTGTGGGCTGTAAGGTTGACATAACCCCAAGTTTATCATGTACTTTTATTGTCATATATATTCCACCTAAAATAACACTGACAGATTTTCAAAATTTTTTTGACTTATTATCCAGTTTCGAATGTTTACATGAAAATACTGTCATTGTAGGGGATTTTAATGTGCCTAATTTTATATCTCATGATTATAGGGATAGTAAGTTCCAAGCATTAAATAATTTTACTGAGCTATTAGGCCTTCTGCAGTATAATAATATTAAAAATCAATCAAATAGGCTTTTAGATCTTATCCTATCAAATATCGAATGTAAACCTAATCGTGAAGAACACCCCTTAGTAAATGTAGATCCTTATCACCCCTCTTTACACTTAACTGTAAATTTTTCATGCCCTAAATTAAATTTAAATCACAATAATCAAAATGTATCTTATAATTTTAAAAAGGCTAATTTTCCACTGCTTTATGATTTAATATTAAAAATTGATTGGTCGAATTTAAAACTATGCAATACTGTTGACGAAATGTGTGATATGTTGTATATCAAGCTATTTGAAATATTTGATAGTTCTATTCCATTAAAGAAATATATCAATAGTAATCATGTTTATCCCCCTTGGTTTAATAGACAAATTATACAAAACCTAAACAAAAAAAAACATTATCACAAAAAATATAGAAAAACATCTAAACCTATATATCTAACCTTATTTAAGGAATCAAGGACCAATGTAAAAACTCAAATATCAGATGCATACAGAAGTTATATGTTAACTATAGAACAAAATATTAATAATAACCCGACATCTTTTTGGTCTTTCATAAATTCCAAAAAGGGTTCTTCACGTATCCCAGGTAAGGTCACTTTTAACAACTTGGAGTATAGTCATCCCAAAGATATTGTTAATGCTTTTGCAACCTATTTTAGTAGTGTTTATATAGACTCTGGTGCATTTTCTAATAATAACTATGATATTGTAGATCCTAATTCCTACCAAACAATTAATATTTCCAGCATTAAGGAGATTGATATCAGAAATGCCATTAAAAAGCTAAAAGACAAAATGACTGCAGGTAATGACAATATTCCCAGTTTTCTTTTGAAGGATTGTTGTGGCGCCTTTTTGACCCCATTATTAATTATTTTTGATAAAATTTTAGAATCGGGAGTCTTTCCAAGCTCATGGAAAATCTCAAAAATAACCCCTGTTTTAAAAAAAGGTAGCAATTCCCAAGTTGAAAATTATCGGCCCATATCAATTATTAATAATTTTGCAAAGATTTTTGAATCAATTATTTACTCAAAAGTATACACTCAAGTTAAGCATCTGCTCTCACCAAGTCAACACGGCTTTATGGAAAAAAGATCAACTTCGTCCAATCTCGTCAGTTTCACACAACTTGCCAGTAAAACCATTGATAATCGCGGGCAGTTGGACGTTGTTTATACCGATTTCCAGAAAGCATTCGATCAAATCGATCATTCAATACTAATAAGTAAGCTTTGTAATTTTGGATTTGATAACACTATTATCCACCTTTTTACATCTTACTTATCACATAGACGGCAGATTGTCGCATTCAATGGATTTTACTCAGATTCTTTTGTATCCACTTCGGGAGTGCCGCAGGGTTCCAATTTGGGTCCCCTACTGTTTCTTTTGTTTAT